CCTCTTGACGCCTGTTATGGACCCCCCGCCTTCCCATAGAACCCGATCACGATTGGGCACACCCCCATTGCGTCGACGCCCTCGTCCACCTGACATTGACGTGGCCGTCCCTTTGAGACAAACGGCGACGGGCAGAGTCCAGCCAGTGCAACGCATCTGGGTGGATTAGTCCTGCGCGTTGCCGATTGGCACAGCTCTGCGTTGGGTTGCGACCACGACAGCCTCGCTTTTTCTTTTTACCCTTCCTTGCTAGGGAAGCTCAGGCACGAAGGCCTCACTCACTCCCCACCGCCTGACGGATGAGATAAACGGCGTGCTCTGCCCATTCCCCGACAAGTCTGTCCTCTCCCCAACAACGCCACCGACACGCTACACGAGGCCGCAGACCGCTGCCATGGCGTCCACAACAACCGACGGCTCGGCCGTCTACGAGCGACGGCTGGTCAAGACACACCGATACCAATGGCCCGGCATCCAGCTCAACCTCTGGATCCTCATCATGCTGATTGCCGCCGGCTTCATCATGGGCGCTTTCGCGACGTTTATTCAGATCCAGCAGCAGCTGCTGCTTCCCATACCCTGGTACGTTCCGTTCCCATGTTCGACGCCATCGGGCGCAAGACGGGTCGGCTCACATGACGTGCCAGGTACTTTCCCTACTTTATCACCGTCGCGGCTCTGCTCGTCGTCTACGTCCTCCTCATACTCTGGCTCGTCTTCAACCAGCGCTTGCTGCCGGCCATTGTCATGATCGGCGCCTTTATGCTGTTCATCCTCTGGATGGTCGGACTCGTGGTGGTGGCCATTGAGCTGTTCGGTCCATCGGGCTCGGTGCAGGGCAACTGCAACATTGCCGTGTTTAGCCAGAACCCGACAGGCCAGACGTTGGAGACGCTCGCGTGGCTGCAGCAGAGGAATATCTGTGAGTGCCCCCGGTGCCTGGTGGGAGAGACACGCGACGGAATACTGACATATGTGTGTTTGTGTCAGGCCAAACATGGCAGGCCGTGTTCGCGTTCAGCCTGGTGGGCGTCATCTTCCTCGTCTGGATCATGGTCATGGCCTACCAGGTCTTTGTCGAGTCGTGACACCCCCGCCGTGACGCCGGCTTTCGACTGAACGACACGATGGCGGCCGGATGGGCATATCTTCTGCCGCTGTGCACATAGTGATGGATCCACGTCTTTTCCTGCCTATTTTTCATTTCTTCTTGTTGTTATTTCTTGGACATGTAGGAGCGTGCAGGCGAGAGCGAGAGACAACGGGGGCCAAAGCCCAGGGACCAGGATGGATGGCGTTTTGGGGGGCATGAGTCTTCTTCGGTGGTGTTTGGGCAGCCCGCCCGTGAGCGAGGGATCCGTCTACTTTGCATGGGTAATTGGAGGACTGTGAATACATCGTCAACGTCTCCAGGCATCGTCAACGTCTCCAGACATCGTCAACGTCTCCAGGTGATGGTGAAAGTCAAAAGTCACCAGCTCCATCGACCCCTCCATTCATTCCTAACCCCCCCCCCCCACCTTGAACCTGATTCACCCTCTCCACCCTGCGTCATGGGCCACATTCCGGTCGAGCTCGTCCCTGACCAAGCAACGTCACTGAACGGTACCCCGCGTCACGAGCCGCGTCCATGCATCGTCGCCCACTCACTCGTGTCGCCCGAAGCTCGTCCAGCCGCGCCAAGCCGCTGCCGGCCGCTGCCGCGCCAAGGAGTGCCGTCCAACCCGGGGAGGAGAGGGGGCCCTGCGGTGTCACGGTCGCACGTCTCCAAACCGGTTTTCCGCCCGCTGCGTCTGGAACATCTCCACGTCAGGCGGCTTTATTTGTTTTTTCGTGGTGTCTCTTCGAGGGACGCCCATCCCGCCGAGCCGCGCGTCGGCGTCGCCCCCACCCGCCATCATGCTGTCCTGTCCTGTCCCCGCGGCCGGGGTTCTTGGGGCAATGCGGGGGCAAAAGCAGAGGGTGATTGCCGTGACGTAGAGAGAGGCCTCTGTGCCGTGTTGATCTGAGGTTGCGTCATGGGAGGTGTGTTGCTGGTATATAAGGCTGACGTTGGCTGTCGACATGTGCAGGAAACACCACATACCACATCAGGCCTTTTGACAGACCCGGAATCAAAGTCGGCATCCTCTCTCAAGACAACCCGTCAACAGCCGCGCAACAGACAAACACCGCCAAGATGGACAAGATCAAGCAAGCGGCCTCCAGCCTCGGCGGTTCCGGCCACAAGGAGGTCAACACCCAGGGCGGCGCTGGTAAGCAGGACTACGTCGATAAGGGTAAGCACGAGACCCCCCCCCTTCGCGTTAGCTTCATTGAACCAACGTCTCGAGCTGTCTTGAAATGTTGGAATGTGATCTTGCGTGCTGACCTGCCTACAGCCTTTGACGCCGGCGTCAAGAAGTCGGGCCACAGCATGGACCGCAACACGCAGGAGAAGGTCACCGATGCCGGGCGCGGCATGTTCGAGAAGCAGACGGGCAAGAATGTGCCGCACAACGTGTCCAACTAGATTGTACCGCGTTGTCAATTGGGGCGGTTTGGCTAGCGTGTAGATTATTGTAATCATGAGGCGAGATGAATTTTTGGATTAGAATACTGCAACCATTTGACTGCCGCACTGCCGGAGGGATGTCATGCATGATCTGACATTCTCATGCCATGCTACTCAGTCGTAGCTTGTTCTCGTGGGCCTTGAGACGCCGCCAATACCGTTGTGTCTTTGGGTGATGGACTCGACCCCTGCGCTCGGGGCATATCAGGGGCCCGACCCGAAGCCATGCAAATTGGACAACGCCGTGTCGTGGCAGATCGGCTCTCCCCCCCCCGCGCGGCTGTCTCCAAGGCTTCTTTCGTCTGGTGGGTATGAGCACAGCAATGGTGGGTTCAAGCGCTGCGACGGTGGGTTCCATGGGTGGGTTCTGGTCCCTGTCTACCCCTGAAGAGTATCTCGACGTCGGCGACGAGCTGCGCCCGAAAGCTCCGAAGTCAGCCCTACGCTCCCTCCCTCGAGAATAGAGAGGGTCCCGCGGTTTCGCAAACGTTTTCGTATAGCCCACGACACAGCGAGTGCCCGCCATGGCGCCAGGTTTTGGCCCTGACTCGCTCGTTGGACTGCCGCGTCTAAGCCTCGCGGTATGCAACTCGCTTCCGACAGACCGGGCAGCCGGCCGGGCTCCGAAAAAAAAAAAGAAGGGCCCCTTTTGCTTTGTGTGTCTGTCATGTTCGTGTGTCTGCCATGTTGAGCGTCAGACGGCTGGGTCCTTCAAGTATACCTGGTAGCGACAGTGACTTGGGAACACATCGCGTTCTTGCTTTCCTTTCTTCGCATTTTGGACTACCAGAGGAGAATATAACTCGTATACAGTTACGAACCGCGCATCCTGTGACTGAAACTGACCCCCCAGCCATCCATCCACCCTATCGTCACATCCTCCAGGACGTGTTCCTGCATAGCCGCCCGCTCACCTGCCCCCTTTCGTCCATGACTGACCCCATGGCGCCGAGACGAACACACACCAAGTCAAGAAAAGGCTGCCAAGAGTGCAAGAGACGCAAAGTCAAGGCACGTCCTCGTACAACACGTCCTCGTGCAACGCCCAGCGGGGCGCCTCGCATCACGCCCACTAACATCCAGCAGTGCGATGAGGGAACGCCGGCCTGCTTCAACTGTGCCCGCAGGGGCATGATATGCAGCCTCTCCGCCGCAGCATCCGCCTCGGCCACTTCCCCCGACAGCTGTTCTCTCTCCGACAGCGATCGCCGCCGGATGTCGGGTGCCGCCGGCCTTCCCGGCAACGCCGGCCCCGGCCTGCTGAGCGTCGAAGCTCGCTAACCCCTGCCTGGCCGCCCGCCCCTCGATCGCCGAGAACGTGGGGCCAGGGTCTCGAGCTCATGCACCACTACTGCACCGTCACGGCTCCGTCCATGGCCTACCGCCTCGACATGCAGCA